TATGGTTTACTGTCATTTTGAGGATATTTTATATTGAAGCAAGTCTTAATACAAACTAAATGATGATTTTCCTCTGGGAGTAAATGAAGAGACATATAAACACTTTCTCTCACTATACCATTTGTTTGATCCTGCAGTGAGTGATGTCGTCGCAACATTATGCTAATATCTGTGTATTTCTGTGGAAATACTTAAAGTCCTAGGTGAATTACTGGGACAATTATTAAGGAAGAGGACACTGATGGTTTGAATTAGCTCTCCCAATTCATGAAAGTATCGAGAAAAATGGAAAATTCTGAAGTTTCTTTAAACTATAGTGTTGTTAATGTCTAGTAAGATAGCTTGGTTTAAATGAAGTAGTATATTCGATTGTGTCTCATGAGACCATTATGGTAGAGCAGAAGCCCTGAAGCATAAAAATTCTTTGGCACCTAAGAAGGTTTTTCCTCAGATCTTTTCCTCTCATCTGTGTCATTTAATTAGGTTGAAGCAGGAATTGTTATGTTCAGGTGGAAATCTTAAGTATCACTTCATAGCTGTCAATGCCATTCTTGGCAATGAATTGAGCAAGCATGGCTCGTATGTGTGCATGTGCCTACTCATTGCTCTGTGTCAGACTGCTGGCGGTAGTTGTGGTTTGTATTTGTGGCATTTTTTCCCCCCAGTTTAAAAGCCACAGATGACTGCTAGAACCCATGTCAAGTGAAAGGAATATTTTCCAAAACTCTCCATTTTTGTTCAGAAAGTTTGATAGAAACATTAAGTTACATTCTAGAAAATATTTTAAACTTTTTTTGGAGGGACAGTGGAAGTCAGAGGATTTTCAAGTTACTTTACTTATTTCAAGATGATTACTTTCCCTGGAACATTTAGGCTATTTTTATAAAGAGATTTCAAAGCAAGTAAAGCAAAAAAACCTCTACCCACTGTTCAAAACAATCTCTCTTGCATAGATTTTGGTAATACAAACACAACGTCTGTCTAGAAGAGAGAGAAGCCAGGGCAGAATATAGCCCATCACAAGTTCAGGGTCAGAATAAGTAGAAAAATTTAATCCTGCASCTAGCAGAAGAAAGGTGTAGGGTTTTCTTTTTTTTTCTTTTTTTTTTTTAAAGCTCATGATTACAGAAATTGTTTAAAGTTGCATAACAGTTTGAAAATTAGAGTAAATTCTAGAGAAACTGAATAGTGTTCAGAGCAAAATACTGTGTGSGGGGGTTTGAATGTTTACCTACCATAGTATACAGTAGATATCTTCTCTGCATATGCATTGTTTTTGGAGTAAATCATACCACAGGGGTTTTCTGGATACAAAACTGCAAAGAAAACTTGTGAGTAGACTCACAATTGCAATAACATGACTTCGTCAGTGAGAAATACAAATCAATTAATTTGCATATAAAGATATAAAGACTAGTTTAACTAAACAAGTAAGAAAGAATATTGAAAAACAAGTTTGTTTTCCTGCAACTCAACAGCAATTGACCAAAAAAGTCTCCAAAACTTCAGTAAAATTCTTTCCCAATGGTAACTATGGTAGGTGTTGAGCATGGAGTGAGACTTTTCACTCCAAAATAATTACRCATCCTAGCTAGCTAGGAATTTCTGCATTCTTCTAACATGTCCTGAAGACAATATGCTACTCTGAATTCTAGAATAATTTGCATGTGGGTAACTTAAGTCATTCAAATKCAGTAAAATGCAAAATTCTGTATGGCTCCTTTTCCAGATAGTGTCTTAAATCACAATAGCCAAAGAAGGTGAGTTTTAAAATTTCCTACTTGCCTAWATTCTTCTTTTATCACATCAGTTAAATCAAATTTAAGTCAAATAGCAGCTATAACCAGTGCCTTGCAGTACAGGTGTTAAACATTTRGATTGGATTCCACAGTGATGAACATACATACAAACTCTTCAGGAAAGTGGAAAATTTTGTTGATTAAAATTACCAGAATAAATAATCCCTRGACATGATTTTGAAGCTGCACTTTYGTGATTGGTTATACTAGCATCCTGCTTCTTAAAGCATTGATAGATTGATAACAAGCTCCATAAAGAAACACCTTTGAGTAAATAAGCAGATACATTGAAGTTTCTGAATTTTTCTCAAGGATGATAGAAACAGCTTCTTAGCCAAACGGAGGCAGAGTCATTCTTGACCACTAATGGTATTGGACACCAAAAAGCAGCTTTCCTGGATCACAAATAATATTTATGGAAGGATGCTATGGTACTTTCCAAGTCAAGGTATCATATGGCATAAGTGATGGCTTCTGCAGCTGCTTTCAGTCAACCAGCTACCCTCTACTACTCCATTAACATTGATTTTGTCCTTAAAATTGGTATTTCTTGTTCAAGCTTCTCTTTTATATCAGTACTAAAGAGATAAGTAAATCTGCATCCAGCTGAGCTATAGAGCTCAATATCTTCAGTATAGTATGCTGTTAGCGCTCCATGACTCTGAAAAATGTTAAAATATGTGTGTGTGTGTGTGTGTGTGTGTGTATTTCCATATATATGGAAAAACACAGAATAAAATTCTGTTGTTTAAGTTGAGGAGTTCTGTGGGCAGGTAATAACCTGAAGGAGAAAGTAGAACTGCTCTGTTGCTCTTGTGTCTGCCTATGCAAGGATTTGCAGACAGGGCATGTATGTGGCCTACGCAGTATTAACATGAATAACATTTTATGTAACAATCATTAGAGATTCACAAAGCACTGTATAGTACAGCTCAAAAGTATCAGCATTTAAGAATATGGCAAAGCAACTATTTTCTTTTTTCAAATCAAGTTCTTTTGAATTAATAGTCATCTGTGGTAGGAGACTTTGTCGGTATGAAGATACTTTTGTACTAAGTAATATGGAGTGCACACATCTATGCTTGTGTGAAAATGATAGTATAGTTTTAACCAAGAGATAAAAATACACTGATTTGAATACAGTTATGTGTCAGGATCATCATACTCTAAGATGACAAATAAGTCTGTATTTGAAAAATCTGTGTATCTGGAATCAAATTATTCTGTTATTGATTCCTAAAGTGCTTAACAGCAAGAGAGACTCTACCTGAGTTTCCACTGCTTGAAAGTGAGATTGTTTATAAATTTGTCATTTATGTGATTGATTCCTTTCTATGAAGCATTTCTTACATCTCAAATATTTGGTATATCTCTTGGTCAGGTTTCAACCTGTATTGCTGAAATGAAATGGAACTCACATGAGAGAACCTAATTTAGTTCCATTCCATTTAGCATGTTCCATGTGTGCATGTTTAGCATTGCAGCTTCTGTTTTGCTACAGTGTTGTCAGAAACTGTCTTTTAAATACAATTGAGTAATATGTAGTTATTTTTACTGTTTTTGAGTATCTTGGATGAAGGGCATATGTTAGGAGATAAAAATTTCATATTTTACTGGTTCCAATAAGAAGATTTTTCTACAAAAGACTCATTAAATATGGATGAAGATGTTCCAGGTTCGTGGTAGTTTCAATGATGTTCCAAGTTTGTGGTAGTTTCAATGATGTTTTGTAACCTCCGCCCATAATTACTTCCAGTTTGTTTATATACTGTTAGTTTGAAGTCTTAACATATGTGAGCAGGTTGCAATGTTTTATGAAGTGCTGCTTGCAGGCAGGTTGGGTAATTCATACCCTTTTTTCTCTTATGTCACCACAGGGGAAGTTATAACCTTTTGTATATTTCGTGTCTTAATAAACTTCTTACTCTGCCAAAGAATTTTTAGCTAGTTTAGAAACTGAAGTGGTCATTTAAAGATGTACTGTTATATCAGATTTTTCTAAACTCTCTTGTTACTTGCTCTTAGCACTGAGATTGAGTTAAATGATGTACAAAAGTATACTTGTCTATATGTCTATTTAAAATGGATTGACCAGTTTTCTTGTTTTATGGAATAGATGCTTCTGGGTGTATCCTGGATTCTCTCCTTATCCTTTCCTATTCTAATCTTTAGATCATCTTCCTATTGTAGCAACATCTCTGTCTTTTTGTCTTTAAACTCGGTAATCACTTCCCCCTGCTTTCTATCTCATCCATTTTGTGTAGATCCCTTTTTGGTTTTTTTTTGACAAATATGTGAGACTTAGTAACTTGAATGAGCATGTCCTATGTTTCATCACTTTTCACTATGATTATCTGYCATTTTTAAGTCTTTTTGACATTCTTAATGAAGAAAAATCTAGAAGCTATGCATGCATAAAGTCCTGGCTTACCATATGTAACATACATTAAAGACTGCAAGATAGAATGTCTTTTCTTAAACGAGTCATTTGCGTAATTCAATCTCTAAAAACTGTACTTCATAGTTAYAGTGCCACTCTGTTACACAGAATCCTACCTTGCTCTAGAAAGTGAACTGAGACACGTTTCTGCTTGCTGTCGAAGGACCTGTTCAATTAATGTTTCTTACTATTGCTATATATCATAAAGATATCTAAATTGAAAGGTTAATATTACTGAAAGAAAGTACACAGCGTTAATAGCAAATATCTCAAAGTCTGAGAATCAAASTGGGCAAAGAAGTCTGTAAATAAATGTAGCTCATTATTTTTTAAATATTCATGCAGGACTCCTTGCTGCTTCAATTGCTTGTGAAAAGCTGCAGCCAGACAATTATTTAAGGAAAATATAAATAGATATTTAACAACTCTGTGTTTCCGTTGTAACCCAGCTAAATTAATACCAGTACTATTGAAGAATAGATTTGTTTGGCAGCCATAGTAACATAATTCCCTCCTTTTTAGACACTTCAAGAAACCATGTGCAGCAATGTGAGATTTTACAACACATACAAAACACCTTCAGGATTTGGTTTCTAACAAGCAGATGTGTGATTTTTCACCTCTTTTTTTTGCTGTCATATGATACCAGAGCATCAGTAGCTTACATGTCTTTACTTGCTGTTGATGAAATATGTGCTGATGATCCTGCTGRAGATACAAATATTTGGATCAAAAATGATGTTTTGTGGAAACAGGTTAATATAAATTACACTTCATGGTTTCTGCGCTTTTAAAGAGCCTGATCTCATCTTACATATATAAGATTTGCAAAGGAATGTTTACAAAGAAACCGGGAAATAGTACAAAAAAGAGAGAGAGTTGTCAGAGCAAAAAGGAACCAGACCTATCCCAGGCTGGGCAAACAAAAAATCCAAAATTTTCAAATACTTTAAAAAGCACTGTTAAAAAGATCGCCAAGTGTCCATCTGCTCGCAACTTATCAACTGAAGAAGAGGAAAGTAATAGAGAATTTTCGCTTTCTCCAACATTCAGTTACAGAGTTGCCATTGCCAATGGACTACAAAAGCCTATTTTTGTAACAAACAATAATAATGAAGATATAGTTCAAGATCTGTCTTCAAATGATAGTTCATATTCTGAATCATTAAGTGAAGTAAAAAGTAACGGCAAGAGAAAGGAATATTTGTCACACACAATGCCTGTGCGACGCAACAGAAAGAGTTTAAGCAGCCTTGCACCATCTGATGGAAGCTCTGATGGAGAACGTACTTTACACACGTTAAAGCTGGGAGCTTTACGAAAATTAAGGAAATGGAAGAAGAGTCAGGAATGTGTCTCTTCAGACTCAGAGCTAAGTACTTGGAGAAAAACTTGGGGCTTAAGAAGTAAATCTTTAGACAGAACTGGTCGCCACCAGAAATCAAATACTCTTGAACCTGGTTTTAGTTCAACAGGTTGCATTAGTCAAACACATGACGTTATGGAAATGATCTTTAAAGAGCTTCAGGGAATCAGTCAAATTGAAACAGAACTTTCTGAACTAAGAGGCCATGTAAATGCTCTGAAACAATCAATTGATGAAATTTCTAGTAGTGTGGAAGTTGTACAAAGTGAAATTGAACAATTGCGAACTGGATTTGTACARTCCAGAAGAGAAACTAGAGACATACATGACTACATTAAGCAAATCGGCTATCCAGGAGACAAAGCAAGTCTTAGGTTTCTAAACGTGCCTGAAGATAGATTTGAAAAAACTGAAAATACGGTTTACAAGATATTAATAGATAAAATGGGTTTTTCAGAGGCACACAGCACTATTAAGATTGAATTTGCCCAAAGACTGGGGCAACAAAGAGACTGTCCAAATGCAAAGCCGAGACCAATTCTTGTTTATTTTGAGTCATCGCAACATAGAGATCTGATTTTAAAAAAGTCTTACAAGCTTAAGGGAACTGGCATTGGAATTTCTACAGATATTTTTTCCCATGACATTAAAGAGAAAAAAGAAAGAGGACTACCCTCTTCCCAGACGTATGAGAGCATGGACATGAAGCTGTTAACTGTGGAGACAAAAGCTAAAAAGCATGATTGGGAGTCACCTGACAGTGATAAAGAGATGGAATCAGATATAAATAAGAACAGTTATGCAAAGATATCTAAATCTGCCCTTCAAATAAAAACAAGCACTACCAAGGGCAGTATTCAGTCACCAAATACTGCAGACCTTAATAGAACTACTGATAGTAGCTCTTTTTCAAACAGAAAAAAATACCGTGATCAGTCACCAGAATATGAGAATGCGGAAAATCAGTCAAAGGCCTACTACTCAGACATGACCCCGGTATGGCATTCACAGAATGACTTTGCAACCCCTAAACTTAGCCATTCGGACTCTGATTTCTCAAAATTGTGTCAGTCATATTCTGATGATTTTTCTGAAAATCAGTATTTTAGCAGAACAAATGGCAGTTCGCTGTTGTCTTCCTCAGATCGAGAACTTTGGCAAAGACGACAAGATGATTCTGTCAACTGGTATGGTAGCTCCCAGGAGCAAACTTTTGCCCAAGATGTGCAACAGTATCCAGTGCAAAATGAAGTCAGGAACACAGAAACAATTGACAGTGGAGTAAGCAATGGAATAATAGGTGTTTCTGGAGACAGAAGCCACTGTAGTGGTTCCCAGCTTTCTTTGCATGATGATCTTTCACCGTGGAAAGATTGGAATCAGTTGGAACAAGGGGTAGATTTGGGGTTAGATTCGTCTACCCAAGAAGTTTTTGCATATGATATGAGTAGCCCTTCAGATCAGCAGATGGATTTTGGAAAGTGCCAAAGTTCTGATCTACAGTATGACACCGAGAGTTACGATTATACCCTCGATGGTACTTCTCCATCATGTGCAGGTCTTGACAGTGAGTCACAAAGTCAGTGGACTGGTCAATATGATGATTATCAGGAAACAAATTCAAACTCCCTTTATCAGAATCAGAACAGATTGCCTATGATGTACCGAAGTCAGAGTGAACTACCAAGCGATGACTCAGAAGAAGCACCCCCTAAGTCTTGGCACAGCCGGTTAAGCATAGATCTTTCTGATAAAACTTTCAGCTTTCCTAAGTTTGGATCAACACTTCAGCGTGCTAAGTCAGCATTGGAAGTGGTCTGGAATAAAAGCACACAAAGTTTAAGTGGGTATGAAGACAGTGGATCTTCTTTCATGGGACGGTTTAGGACTTTATCTCAGTCTACTGCAAATGAATCGAGCACAACACTCGATTCTGATGTTTACACTGAGCCTTATTACTATAAAGCAGAGGATGAGGGAGACTTAATTGAACCAGCTGGTGAGAATGAAACAGATTACGTAGAGGTAATGGAACAAGTCCTTGCTAAACTAGAAAATAGAACTAGTACCAGTGAAACAAGTGAACGCATCCAAGAGTATGACCTGGAACAGCCTTCATATGAAACTCCTTATGCAACACTACAGGAGGAGGAATATGACACACAGATTGATAGTGTGGTCAGTGAAGCAATATTGGAAGTTGAAGGTGACATGGAAGCTGACGTACAAGTAAAGGAAGATGAAAATCAGAATGTTCCGGAAATGCCTGTTGAAACTCCAAAAAAAAAAAAAATACGCCCGTCATTTAAAGAAGCTGCTTTAAAAGCTTACAAAAAGCAGATGAGTGAGTTGGAAGAGAAGATCCTTGCTGGAGGTAATGATATTTTAATGTTCTCTTTTAAATGTTGAAGTTAGTCATTAATTTCTGCATGATATGCAATTCTGTTTACGTTGAATTTGGTGATTTCTGGATATACTGTCATGGTTAAATTGTTGTGTCTTAATATGCCAAACAAAAGTATATAAGCAATTGTATTATTTTGAATTGAAGATATTTTATGGTTTTTGTAGCTTAATTTTTAAACTCTTTTTAAAAGGACTAAAGMGACTATTGTTAAGGATTGTCATATAGTTTTATAAATGTAGTTACAGGCATTACAGGGGGTCAGCTAATACAGTGTTTCCTTGAACCGTGCTATGGATGTGGCCTGTTCTATATTAATCTTGATGAGCAGTAATCTCCAACCTATAATTTGCTGTGTAAATATGATGAGAGCACAAATTTAAACTGATGTGAATTTTGGGTGTCTTGTACTCGTAAGTTCTCAGAGAAGCAGATGGCTTCAGGAAAGAAAAAAATAAGAAAATAATAGGTTCAAAGTGGTAGCATCCCTGTATAAGAGGGTGGGTTAACTCACAGCTTTTCAGAGATTTTTTTTTCTATTGACTCTATATTCTGAATTAAGAGACCTCAAAGCAGGCAATTCTTAAATATATAGAATTTTAATACCTCTGTAGTAAGCTAAAATGATCTTGAAGGTTAACCTACATACAAAGTACTGATAYTATTGTGCTGCAAGTGTGTTTAATTGGTAGCTCATAATTAGCCCAAATAGCCAGATGGTAATTGTCACCTTTACTGAGTCTTGGCTTTGTTTGCCTTGCAAAAATAATAATGAGATATTTATTTTAAAGATGAAATGTTGTGCTGTCAGCTAAAGAGTGGATTTAGTAATTAATATCTCAGTTTTTGATGCTATGTTTCTTTCATATCAAGTAATTATATAATAAACATTCAGTTAAATTAGAAGTGTTTCATAAACAAGTATTGCTGATCTGAAAATCTATTTTTAAATTGAAGTAATGACACAAAACTATGAAATTGCATTTTGCAATTAGGTGTCTACAGTACTGTGTTAGACAGAAGATGGTGTATGTACTAGGAATCAGCTAGCAGTAGTATTTTTGTGATTTTTGCATTGTTAAACACTGAGGTGTGTATTGAGGGGACCCTAGTTGTTTTGTCTAGTTGCCATTGCACAATAGGAGTGTAAGAGGCATGGAGAGGTAGTTTAAGGGGGCATATGATGGAGATTCAAGACAATGAAATCATCAGTGTATTGTTTGTGCTTTAGTGTCTGTTATTAGATAACCTGAATTGTTAGAAAATGAGAAGTTGCTTTTGATATCATATCTCAYATGATCAGCCATGTGAATTGAAGAAAATATTTTTCTTCTTCCTTTAATCCAGCAGGTGAAAAAAATGACTAGTTCAGTCTTAAAGCCTAATGAAGCCTTTTTTGTATAACTGAAATACTACTTAGAGTTTATTTGCAGAGAAGAAGCTGGCCCAAAAGGCCATTGTATGAAAAAGGTAATTGAATGAAGAGTATGGATTGTAGAGTGTCTGTCCAATTACTGAATGTCATACTAAGACCTCYGTTTTCCTTTCTACTGAAATAGAGAAGGGAGTACAGTAGGAGGTAAAAGGGAATTTAGAGGCCAGCTGCTGCAACAGGGGTGCTTTTCAGATTACCCTTATGCTGAAAAGAGAATGCCCTTGAGCAGCAGTTCCATTTCCTCTCCCCACTTCTTTCCTGCAGCTGTGGGGAGGAGATCTGTTCCTTTCAGTGATTCTGAGTAAGTGATCTGTTAAAAGTGTGTGTAGAATATCTGGCAATATTCACTGGCACGATTGTCCTTTGTGTTTTATGTCTAATGGATGAATATGATACTTAATTTCTAGCATTTGCAGAACACCCAAGAATCAGAGTTTAAAACTTTAAAAATATATTTGATAGCTGGAGTGTCCTACCAAAAGAATACATTCCACGAACACTTGTGCTGAGTAATGTTATTCTGGTGAAATTTTTTTGAATTAACATTCAGTGAGCAAGATAACTTTGATATTAGAGTTTGTTCACTGATCCATTTTTCAAGTGCTTTGTGTGCAGCCTTTTAAGAAAGGTACCTTTTTAATGTCACCTTTTTCTCAAAGAGAAAACACATTGACTTCCATATGTCATTTGAACTGCATATCAATTTTAATTTCTTTTGCACTAAGTATAGGAAAAGCATATTGCAAATAAATACTTAWGTTCTACAAAAGGTGCCAAATGTACAGTTTGTAACCCTGCCTCCCTTCTTTCTATTTTTTTCTGAGGCTTCAGGCTTGTCCAGAGAACACTTATTTAAATGAATCACTTAAGCAAATAATAGATTGAGGGTTTATACTTTGCAGGAGTAGTTATACTTTTAAAGAGAAATGGCTAATTGCCAGTTTAGTTTTTATATTAATTTTATGAATGGTTTTCTGACCCTTTCCTCTTTTCTTTTTTATTTGAGGATGAAAAACTGCTAGTTGTAGGTTCATGAAATTAATCTTTATTATATAACCACAGCATAACTCACTGTTTAATGAATTGTTTCATCTGCCCAAACAGGCAGGGATTGGTAGTCAACAATCTGGCCAATGTAGCTAAACAGTAAAATAAAAAAAAAAAAAGTATTTCCTCAACCTAGAACTAAAGAAAGGTTTAGATGAATGTTTCTTTTTTCATTCTAGTAACACATGAGGTAATGTCATTGCAACTGTGGTACATAATTTATCAGTGCACAACAGTCTCTTTGGATAGTCCTATTCTTTCTCTAGCTGGAGAAAGAAACACACAATGGACTGATTGCTTATGTATTATTTATTACAGCATATTTCTGGAGACATACTGGAAAGAAGGCAGTAGGGTATGCAGAAGAGAGGAGATGGAATTAGTACATAAGTTATCCTTGCACTTACAGTTCTGTAAGGACATAGAGGTACAGTCATAATTCTGAGGCATGTTTATAAATTGAAGGATTGACGAGCATTTAGAAAAATACAGAGAACTGTTGCCTATTATTTTGTTTCTTCGTAAACTTTTTTACCTTTTTTTTTTTCCCCCACACTTGTTATTTTTTGTCTTTCTTTTTTCTCTCTCTAGTGGCTTCTTTTATTCTCTCCCCATCTTGCTCACCTTATCTTTTACACTTGCATTAGAATAAGCATCATTCTCTCTCCTGATAAAGCCATCACTGTTCCTGAGCTCAGAGTTGCATGAAATCTTGAGTCACTTTTAATAATAACGTAAACTACCATTCACACAGGGAAGTCTGTAAGTAATATCTTATTGATCCAACTGATGAAGATTTTGCTGATCATATGGTGGCCAGCTAGACTTGAAAGATGCACAACAACAAACAGATGTCCTTGGTCTGCAGTTTCCAGCATGAAATAAGCTGTGTATTGTATATGGAGTCAAGATGGGTGAACTTGTCTTTTGCAATATCTGTGTGCGACATTTACACTGTACGTATGTTCAATGACAAGTCCCATTACAGGGCCCAAGGATCAGAACTGCCTCTTTAGCAATGGATGGCAGTTAGTCTAGAGTTTTATAGGAGGTATTTGTCAGTACACATAGTAGTGCCTGGAGAACAGAATGTGGAGAAATTAGTATCCCATACAGGCCTTTTTTGTGTGTGTGAAGGAGAATATGTGGTGCTGACATTGGAAATCAGTAACGATAGCAGTAATGCATTGTTGTGCTTCTACAGCTGTGTGATGATTTGGATCTGGCTTAAGAAAACTTGACATGAGAATTGTACTAGGTATGTAATAGACAATATTATAGCAATTTTAAAACTCTGCCTACTCTAAGTTATGCCATCTTCAAGATAAGTATATTTTTTGGTAGCTTTTCTAGATTTTTGTTCAATCARACCACATCATTTGTTAGATCTATATGACTTAGACATATTTTCCAAAATAACCTAGGTTTTTAAAAATTAATTTAGCCTTGTTTAATAGCACTCAGTTTTCTGTTTCTATTACAGAGCGATTTCAGGATAAAAGGAATCTTGTTAAACCAGCTGGCTGAGTGAAGACCCAAACATACATTTTGAAAAATATAATTAMATGGAAAACAGGGGTTCATAAACACATTCAAATCTTCCTCTAGTTTATTGGGGAAGCAGAGTATCGCAGTAATGTGCTAAGATGAAGAGATTCCGTTTTACCACCCAAGCATAATTCTGTCTATTTTCATGGGACAGGTGCCAGACTTTCTCTTTATGCACATTTTCCAGGTGATCAGCAGAGCAYCTATACAATTATGTTTCCCTGGATGCTTAAGTAGAAGTTGTAACTGTGAGGTCTCTAGTTCCTAATGGTGCAAAAGTATTGTTGAAATCATGTCAACTGTGTGGTTTGCCTCTCTCAGCTGTAGAGAATATAATGATCACTTGCATGATCAGTTTTGGTAAAGATAAAGTAGATATGTAAAAAATAGTAGCAATAAACATAGATATGTATTTACAGACACCTGTATTTTTATATGGCCTAGTACATACCATTTTATGAGTTCCTCTTCTACACTTGCTTAAAATCCTGTATAAAGAGGTTTTTATGGGTAGCTCATGCCTTCTAATTGTGTTGCTGATAGAACTGTTTATAAATGTCACTAATACTCTAATAAGGTGTATGGTACATGATAAAATACAGGTTAACTAGAAAAAGAGATAAAAATACTGAAAGCAAAAAGGACCATCATCTTTTTGCACTAACAAATAGATGCTGACTGATCTAGTAGTAGTTTCTCTAGAGTTCGTCATTAAAACCAGTTAAATTTCTTTATGTAACATCAGAATCTCAGAGATGTGATGGCARAACTTGTTTCATCTCTTGACATTTTTCTTCCCTTTGAGAACTGATCTTTGCTAATCACAGAGGCCAAGCAGCAGCATGTGATTTTGCTGGTGGTAATCACAGGTCCACAAGCTGTGTGTAGCTCCAGGCACCATTCATGTAATTGCTGCTTCATAAAAGAAAATCTTGTCCAT